ATAGCTGCCCTAGTGAGGGTTGCTTCCCCATCACTGCTCCAGCAGCAGGGGTGGGGCCCCTTAGGCAATGGGGCAGGGAGGGGGGTTATTCTGCCTTCCCTGCAGCATCTGGCAGAGGGGGCTTATCCTGCCACTTGCCCTGCACAGGGAGCGATTGGTGGAGGCAGTGGTCGGGTCTGGCAGACCCCACAGTGGTCCCCGGGGGCAGAGGGAGGAATAACACCCCACCCTGGCCCCTCTGCCTCAGGGGGCCATGCTGGCCAGTGTCTGGCCATGCTCCTGCCCCTACCACTGCAGCAGCAAGGGGAGCCAGGCGGACTCCAGCTCAGGTCCAGACAAGGTGGGGGGGGCCCTTCCCTGGCTAGTTCATTACAGGCTACAGCTGGGGCTGGCCACACCTCTGCTGTTTCAGCAGTGAGTGGAGAAATGACTGGCAGGCCCATGCTGCTGGGACAGGGGAGGGAGGGTGGGAATAAACCTCTTCCCTGCTCCCTTCCAGGGCTGCTGTCTGGCCTGGTCTCCATCTCTGCCTGTCCCTGCTCTGGCTGGGGAGCAGAGGGATGGGGCCAGGCCTGCTCTGCTGGAGCAGGGAGCACAGCCCAGCCCAGAGAGCATGCTGGGGTGCTGAGGGACTCTGGTTTATATTAAACCTGGAAGGGGCCTGGGACAGAAGTTGCAAAAAAACGGTTGGAGTTCAACCAGGTTTATCTCAAATTGGTTTTGGCCATTTTGAAACTGGTTTATGTGCGCTGAACTTATGTTCTATTGCAAATTTAAACCAGTTTCTGATCACTTAAACAAGTGTAAGTGCAACTTTTGGCCCTAGCTGTGAAGAGAAGCTTCTAATATTCCATAGGTTGCAAGAAGGGGTGGGGAGGAACAGGTGATCTTACTTCCTTTTCTGTAATCCTCCTATTGCACACTCTGCACCCCCCCGCTTAGTAAATAAATGTTTACACATATGGTTGACACTAGGTCTACAACTTCTTCTTTGAACAACTTGAGATCTTGAAAGTATATTATTGGGAGATTAATGACAGATTTTAGGTGAATAGGGGGCAGATCCAAAAAGTTAGGTGCTTATAAAATAAGATTTAGGCACCTAAGTCTACCTAAATCCAGAATGGAGATCCAAAAAACTCTTATTCAGTGGCTGCTTAAGCCCAGAAACACCTAAACTGCCAAGGTGCCTATCTGTTTGGCTTGGAAGTTTCCCAGGGGCTGGCAGTTATGCTTCTGTGTATGTGCAGAAATGCTTAGCCTGAGATTAGGTGCCCATCTCCTGCCTAAGCCCTAAATGAACTTAGTGTAATTTCTGGATTTCAGGTGGTCCAGTCCTGTCTGCATGAACAGAGCCCACTAACCCACACTGACAGGATTGGGTTCCTCACAAATTTCACCCACAGCTGCTTCATTTCTAAGGTGCAGTCCATAGTAGTGGGAACGCTGTTTGCCTCTGATGTAACAGCTGATTGGTTAGAGTATTTGCTCAGAAATGGAACACCTGGATTGCAGGCCCCCATCACCTGAGAAAGCTCAACCCACATCTACCTCTTGGGAGAGTGCCCTAACCACAAAGCCACAGAGTGGGTGGTGGGGAGGGGGCAATCCCCACCCTATCTGTTGAAACTGTGGTGCTGTATAGAAAGGAATGCATGATTCATGGGTCCAAGAGGAGACTTCAGTAAAGAGCATGACTAGTATACTAGTGAGGGCACTCACATATGGAGAAGAGTCATGCTGGGTTCCTAAAATAAAAATAAAGCACTAAAATCAACTGAAATACATTGTGGGAAATTAGTACATAACCCTCAACCCCCTACCCCACACACACACACACACACACACACACACACACACACACACACACACACACACACACACACTGTATAGGATCACAGCTGATTAAAGCTGACATGACTTCCTCTTGCTGAGGAAGGTAACAGAAGTGATCTGGTGAGGTTGCTGCTGGTCAAGAATAGAGCCTATTGGCAAATCTACAAGGAAACTCACCTAAGAAATACAGTTCTCTCTGTTACACTAAGGTGAGTCTGGCCCAAGAATACATAAGTGTTGCTGACTTAGCTCAGCAAGAGTAAGAGTAAGAGTCACAGACAGACTTAGCATTTAAACCAAGATAAAGCACAAGGACCTCTTACTTAGCTTTAGAAGTATATGCCTTTGTCTCTAATGGCTTGAGAGCTGCTTCACTGCTGTTTAGACAGCCTCTTTAAAAATGTGAGAACGATTTTTCACAGGCTCCTAAAAATATGACAGTGCTTCTTCCAGTGTTCTCTGACCTTTTGTACTTCTACATGAAGTACTTTATCAGAGACCAACCTGGAAGAAATCCAAGACTTTCTCAATGAAAAAATAAATTCTACAGCAACAGCCTCAGCATAACGTAGAGCAAAGTGTGCCATTAAGGCTTTGATCCTAATGAAGGCCAGAATGCACATTTAAAAAAATCTATTTTCAGGACATTTCATAATTACTGGGTGGAAAGGATTAATGAATGGAGTAATGAACATTGTCAGTGAGGCTAGCCCAAACTAAGCTTTTTGGGGGGGCGGGGGGGGTACGACTTTCCTCTACTAAAGAAAGGGCAATAAACAGAGTTATTTTTAGTAGTTAGCTCCAGATTACCCAGCGACATAATAATTTTGAAAAGAGGGCAAGCCTCCAACTACATGACTTTCTGTAAATATAAAGTTTCTGCGCCTTTTGACCAATTCTTTGAAGGTCAAAGAAATGGTTAGCAAAGGCACAGAAAAGCAAAAAGGCAGGACTAAATTTTGTTACTAGTTACTATAATTTTTCCATTTATTTTTATACAACTGCAAAGGATTTATACAATATTGAATTCTTGTTATGGTCTGTAGCCCAAAACAGAAAGTATACTTTATGTAAGTTACTTGGAAAGAAAAGAAAGAGAATGATTGTTATGAACTATTTGCTTTATGCTGTTTGCTGTTGTACCACTCCCACCATTTGTTAGCAAAATGTAAAAAGTCACACACAATGGCAGCGTTAGAATAAGTCATGAAAATACAGGCAGGCACAAGAAATCCAATCCCCCAGAATAACTTAACTCTTGCCATCTTTTTCCACAGATATTAAGGAGACAAAAAATAATTACCTCTCACTCTGTTTTAATATGTAGTAATTTAGGGAAAGGCTTTCATTACAGTATAGTTAAAACAAGAGATACTATTAAATGTATAAAAGAACAGAAAACTTGACAAAGTAACTGAGGGATCCCCCCCCACAAACTAGTTTCTTTTTGCTGGATTTTGCAGTGGTGTCATAATTCTTGTTGAAGACACAACCCCAAATATTTCTATAACAGCTGTGTTTTTGTAGATTGAATGTTATAACTTCATTGCTTCCTAAAGGTGAGAATAGACAGGGTATGGTACTAAAATATAAGGTTGTTTGGAAATGTGCCTGAAGTAACAGGGAGTTAGGAAACTTAATTTACTTGTATATTGTTACAGAGTATTGTCACAGATTTTAATCCTTCTTTGAAAGTTTGATGTTGCTCTTTCAAAAGACTGACCTTTAAATAGAGTATAGTTAATCCTCTTGTACAAACTGAATAACCTTACTGAAGAATGTAACTGAAATTTCTAATGCAGATTTTAACATGGGGATTAGATTTCCAGCTATATGATGGTATGAAATGTTGCAATTAAACAACATATGCTAATATACTTTATTCCAATCATTTATTTCCTAAAATTTCTTAACTTTTGTGTCTGAAATGAAAATGAAATATAATATTTTTCATTTATATACAGCAAGGATATCAAAGATCCAACCCTCAGGCCATATCTGTCCTGTGGACCTGCTCATCCAGTCCCTTTGGTCTGAGTTGACCCACGTGTTTCTGGAGTGGCCCCAAGTACAGGGCTCAGGATGTGTACCACATGCAGTGCCCGCTCCAGCCAGCTCATGATCCCTACATGTGGTGCCTACTCTGGGACTCATGCTGCACATGATGCCCATCCCAGCCAATCTGGAATCTGCTCTGCAGGAGGTGCCCACCCCACTGGCCTGGTCCAGGACTTTGAGTGCTGTGGACACTCACGGGTATTTCAATGAACTGCTTTCAATCTACTGGTTGGGAAATGAGTTCCTTTTTCCTTCTTGGCAATACTTGAATTCTCTGCTCTCTCTGACTCAATTCCTCCTGCTTCTAAACATTTTTCAGTTGTTTCTTTAATTACCTAGTTGCTTCTATATAAAATATCCCATCAGACAAAGTAGAACAGCTAGAAGCCACCTTGCAAGGAAAACACATTTTTTGCATGGATTATCACATGAATTCTCTGCGAATCATATTTTATAAAGTCCTGGGATTTGGTCACCCCACTGACCTCCCAGAGACAGCCCTACCAAAAAATATTTTTAACAAGAAGCTCTATTTCAAGAGTGCCTGTGCTTCCAGACAGCAAGAGTGAACAAATAAGGAATATAATTTTTTATTTCCTATTTAAAAAGAAGGAGAGAGGCAGCAAATTTAAGTGCATACTTATGCTACTAATATGTACTGTGAAAAGCAGAATTGTTTAATTTATGAAATCTGAAATGGATGTGTGAAGGCCAGGAGGTGGAGATGGGAGTTTACTCCCAAATAGAAATCGACACTTGGTAAAAATCTGGTGTTTTAAAAAAAAAAAAAAACACATTTTGCTCTTCAGAGCCTTATTGTGAGCCTGACCAGTACGATTCTGAGAATGTATGCTGAACATACTGTATATCAAAGCTAATGGTATGAAATACTCCATCCTGTGCAGAGCAATCATCTAAAAATTTCCCTTCAGCATAACAGAGTTTACTAAGGGGTTCACTTAGCACACAGTCAGCCCCAGAACTCTTTTTAGCCCACCCCTTTTCTGTGAAAGTCTAATTAGTTTTGTGAATAATCATCTGAAAAGCAAAGATTAGAAGCACCTTATGCTGAAATTTAATAAAATATGCTTTACAGTTTTACTTACCTAATTCTTTAGAAACAGGAGATTCAGTTGCTATATCTCCGATCTTTGCAAGGCCATCATAATACGCTCTGCCAGCAAGTATCATAGCTACAGGGAAAAATAATGCAAAATTTGTACTCATTGAAAACAAAACTGGTTGAAATATTCAGTTTCTGCAACACTTGCATTGGGACAATTGTTAGAGCTGAGGTATGCAGAGAAAGAGTCTCAACACTCTACAACAGTCTGGTAAAAGTACTAGCCTGCGAGTGATTCAGGTTCAAATTTCTAATCTGGCTGGGATAAACTGGAATGAAAATCAAGTCAGAGAAGGGACATGAATGTGGAGCTCCCAAACCGCAGGATACTAACCACCAGCCTTTGGAGCATACTGTACAAAAGGCAGTGAATTTTAAACCAGAGAATTAAAGGCAGAGAATTAAAGGCAGAGAATTTTAAACCTGCTTCACCCCCCTGGTTACAAACAGTCCCAGAGATAAAGCAAGAATTTAAATATTTTACCAAGGAAATGCTGCATGATATGTGGAAACTGATTCTACCAACACACTTTTGTAAACACGATAAACACTCTTTAGTATATGGATTTTTATAGACATATTGTGTATTTATTATAATTGGACAGAAGGTCAGCAAGATTGTGACGAATCACAGTGCAAAATCTAAAATGGCTGGCTTAGCTCAGTGCGGGGGAATATTAGAAGGGACTGGCAGCAGTGGACCCTAAATCCGCCCCCAAATCCAAGTAAGTGTGAAGGCACTAGTCAGAGAGGAAAGCATATTTGGGCAGATAAAGAATACATGCAAATGAAAGAAAAAAAGGGTTTTGCTCCTTGCCTTGAAGCAGCCAGGGGCAACAGTTGACTCAACTCATCTGCACACTCCGTCCCCAGTTCAAGGTTTCCCTGGGACCTCATTTGGGCTACCCTGCCTACCAACTTGGTGGAATCGAAAAGGAACACGCTCCCTGTTGGCCTCGTGCTTGTGAGGTTTTTCATTTTTCTTGCAGAATTGGTGAGGTGCAGGCATGTTAAAAAGAAACAGGAATGAGAAATCTGTTTGGAGAATACAGGAACATGTAATTTGTTGCTAGTGTGGACAAAGGTTAAAAGGTCCATTCCTAAAAGGAAGTCATATTCAGGTTTTCACAATGGACCCGGTTCCCTTTACTGGGCGAACAGGGTGAGACAGAGACATTTCAGAAGTGACCTGAACTGTAGGAGAGGGTGGAAGGATCTACCCTGACATACAGATTACATAGTGGGAGTTCTGTATTCTGACACTGTACCCACTTAAATGCCTGGTATATGAAAAGCATTGGGAATAACACGCCCCTTTTTTCTGTGTCCAAGTCTCAGCCTACCGGTTAAATTCATCCCTGTTTCTTTCATTTGCCCACGTGTCTGGATCAAACTTTACTAGAATAATCACATATGTATAGTGAAAGAATGAAATAAGATAACTTGAAAGCCTCTTTCTATAACTTTTCAAAATCCTTTCAGAAAAACTTCTAGTCAGAGGGAGGGGAAAATAGCTGAATAACTGAATTTAAACCGGTACTGGCTCCATAGATTCATACATGCCTGTCATTTTAGGACTCTGCACAAAAGCTCAAGCATGACAAAGTGCTCATTTTGATGACTATCACAGCTGGTCACACCAGTTCACACAGGAACACAAAAAGGATCAGCTTAATCAGTAAACAAGGTGACCAAGGAGAACTTTTTAAAATTGATTATTCCCAATATATTGCCATAACTTGAAAATGGAATGAATAGTCTTAATGGAGCAAATCCTGCTTCACCCCCCTGGTTACAAACAGTCCCAGAGATAATGCAGATGGAGGCAGGATGTCAGAATGTGATGGTGACTATGGCCCTGCTACTCGTGCTTCCACTACCCTCTGGGACAATGGAGAAGAATTTTCTCTTCCTCTTAGACTCTCACAGAGCTCCTTTTATGGACCCTCGCTACTCAGGGTTGGCATCTGGGCATGGTGGTACAGCCCTTGGAGTAAAATGCAATTACCTTAAACAGGAAGTTATGACAAAATAATTCACAGGCAATTAGGCAGCTATGACAAAACAAAAATAGCAACACCAAAATATCCAAAGAGGTGACTGTAAAAAGCAAGAGGTTCTCTAAAATGTTATTAAAAACAAGCAAACAAAAAAAGTACTAAGAGAGATATCTAAAAATAGTCTTATGAATACCTGCAACCAGTGGAAAAATATTTACCATTCCGAGGCTAGTCAGTACAGCTGAAGCAACCCGCTAATGACATACTTTCTCAGATTTGGATGAACTAAACCCATCTGTCCTAAATATTTCATTTTTTTCCTAGAGAGATACTACAGGAATAAGGCTGTACATTTTAACATACAGATAATGAAACACAGGTAAGCTTTTGTAATTTGCTCTCTCAGCACTCTCTTCAACTAATTCTCCAAGTAGGATCCTCATGGAAAAGTCTTCATTTTGCATATACAATTTTCTGAAATCAAAAATTTTGGGGCTATTAAAAAGCAATAGCATGACACCCATAACTTTCAACTGTGCTAACTACATTTGTCAATTGTACATACATTCTGCTAAACCTTACATCTTATCCTTTTTAATACTTATACAGATGACAGATGGTACCCCCGGAAATTAATATCCCATGTATTTCCAGGTCATATATGACTTTTAAATAAGATTTAGAAGATGACAGTATGAATGTTTTCTGCAGACAGAATAATTATTAGGCTACCAAATATAATTCCAGAACCTTGTAGCAACTGATTTTTCTACTTTGACTGGTAAAGGATTCTGGAACTCTCAAATTGTGGGACTTGAAAGATTAAATTCCTGAAAGGTGATTTTCAAGTTAAGGAGACTTATACTAGATAATCAGATTTGGCATTCTTATTTTAATTTTCAACGGGTGCAGCTATTGCTCCTGAGGCTATAAGTAAGCTGCTTGAATATAAACATTGTAAAGTCTGTAGTTTAAGATAAGGTTTCTACTTTCTTGGGCAGATCCAACCAAGATTTGCATTGAGTACTGTCTGCATATATCTGTTTGTCAATCATAAATTTTCTCATTCAGGAATCAATCTGTCTCCTCACAAAAAAGCCTACTTTTATCTGTTGAGATCAATGAGTCTCAACCAGGGTGCCACAGCATGCTGGGATGCCTTGAGAGTCTTTCAAGGGTGTTGCAGCATTGTTAGGTTTGCCAACATGATTTGTAAGATAAACCCAGAGGTTTCAAATAGGAATCCATAGTGGTAAAAACATTCTGACCTTTTCTGATCTTTCTGAGTTCTTTGCAACAGAAAAGAATGCTGTATTATTTTTCCCTAGTCAAAAAACAAGTGAAAACTAAGAGCTGGCATTTTCCAAGGGGTGCATCGAGTCTAATGAGGGGTGTGTTGGATCTAGAAAGGTTGAGAACCACTGATCTAGATGTTCTTTTGTACATGAGAACATGTTAAACCTAGTTTGAAATACAGAATCACCAGAAACTGGACAACCCCCCACCCCTCTCCTGTTAATTTCACATAGCTCTTAGTTGCCAATTAGGTCTTTTTAAAAATAGGACACACTGCAAATCCATTATTTCCTGGAGGAGATTGAGCATGTGCATGTGCAGTGGCAGCCTATTTGAACATCTGTTATAGTACTGTCCCAAAATAGGTAACAAAATGGCTTTATTTCTTTGCCTTTTATGATAGTTTATCCTTCAAATTAGAGCTTAAAAATGGTAATCCTCTTTTCATATTTAACTTCTCCTACACAATTTGTTGCCAGAAGTGTAGATTCCCAGAACAAGACACACTGTTTCTGTAACCTGAAAGTTGGCATGCTGTAAAATTTCTTCCTCCTCTTAATATCTATTAAGAAAGAAATTAATTCAAAGAGTTTTAATTCAGCTAAAGGGCTGTTATTGATGTTATTGATTTTTCTGAAGTTTTGTCAATCAATTTTCCTCAGCCTTTTCTGGTCACTGAATTACAGGAGCAGAACAAACTACCTCCTGCACGCTTTATGAAATAGCATGTGTTAAGCAACAATTTTAAAGCTTTGAACAGCAGCAAGCTATTCATACTGTAGGACACAAGGACTGTGCACAAGAACAGGAGTTCCCAGAAAAGACACGTGACACGATTTTAACTGCTTTGAAATCAAGGCAACCTTACATGTTTGTTCACATTTATTACGTCCTGGCTGAGTACAAAGGTAGCTTGGTTTCTGGTATTTCAGGAGACATTAAACTCTTAACATTTTGAAGTAGTGGTGGTTTCAATTATTCCCTGTTAATGATTTCCTCCTTTGTATCTGGCCCCCACTGTTTAAATCTAATGCAGTTTTGCTGGAATGTAAATGGAAGCATCAACATCCAAACTAGTGAGGGGCCAACAGCAAGCAACTGCAGTGCACGTGTATAAGCCATTTTATACCATGCAAATCTAGCTTTGCTCCATCTGCAAGGTATCTGAAACGCACCTGTATTTCATGGGAGTGTGGAGTAATGGCAGAAATCAATAAGCTATTCTTGCAAATGGTAGTGATTAATATGCTTTGAAGGAATTTGCCTCTAAAGAACTAGGATTATTTAATCTGAAGAGAAGACTGGGGGGAACGGACGGACGACGATGACACATGATAACAGGTCTTCAAATATCTAAAGGGTAGTTATAGAGAGAATGGAGATGGGCTTTTCTGTGTGGCCATAAGGGACAGGACATGGGACAATGGATTTAAAGCTGTAACAGGGAACTTAGGTTGGAGATCAGGAGGAGCTGTCTGTCCATGAGCATGGTCAAGCATTGAAACAGGCTACCTAGCGAAGTTCTGGAATCTCAATTTCTGGACATTTTCAAGAGCAGGCTGGATACATGGCAGGGCCGGCTTAGTCAGGAACGATCCTGCCTTCAGTAGGGGACTGAACTAGATGACCTTGTGAGATCCCTTCTAGTCTTACCTTTCTGTGATAATTCCTAGGATAACTTTTACCCCAAAGTACAATCTAAGCAGGCCTTCTCCTTGGACCTTCATGATGCTATTGCTGGACACACTGGGTAGGGAAGGGGGAGGGAAAACAAAAAGGAAGGGAACCAGCCTGTTATAGGTAGCAGTTTTGTTGGTAAAGGAAAGATCATTTGCTTCCCCACAGTTCATCACTGGGGAAATACATCACAAAAGCAGCCTGAGGTACAGGCTTCTGACTTCCTCAGGAAGAGGAGGAACTACCTGAGTTCAGTTCCCTGTTGCATTATACATGTCTTACTCTTTTCTGTGCCATGCTCCATAGATTTTTGGTGCTTAAACTTTGTGAAGAAATGCAACTACTGTATACTGATATCCTGATCATAACACCAAGCTCCCTCTGCACCAGCAAGTTGAAAGAGGAGTGCTTGAAGATCCAGCCCAGCCCAGCCAACAATCTACTGCTTGACAGCTGGCCCCTGGGACCCACTGGGGACTCAAACTGGCTTCAGTGTGGTCTCGTGCTAGGCTGACAGTCAACTGATTGTTGACTCTGCCTGGGACATCCTCAAGTCTGGTTTGAGACTAAGGCTGTCCTCGCCAGGCTGACAATCAGCTGATTTAATTATTAAAACCCTGCGCCCCAGAGCTCTGGCTAGGCTGCCGCAGATGGGGGAAGTCAGAGGCTCCAGGCAGGGGGGAGGGAGCCAAAATACTTCCTCCAATGGGGACTTTAAAGCACCCAGGACCTTTGATTTCCCATGCCAGGCAGCCAAGCCAGAGCTGCCGGGTAGAGGGTTTAAAGTCCCTGGCATGGAAGCTGCATCAGTAGCACTATTCAAAAGCTCTCTGTGTGGGCATGGACAGCTGGGATGATGGAAACTCCCTGGAAGTGGCACCTGCAGCTGGGGAGCAGGGAGCTTCCAGCCCCACAGGTACCACTTCCACAGGCACCCTGGGAACTTTAAAAAGCAGTTGTCCAGCTGGGGCTCCCAGCTGTATGCCCACTTTTTAAAAGGTCTAGGACACAGTGAGTCCGAGATCGGGAAGACATTCCCTGATGTCAGGCTCATGACCTCCCTCCCCCTCCATCATCTGCCTTCAAAGATCAGACAGTCACTGGGTCCAGGACATGATGCTGTCCCTGGCCCAATCCCTCTGATCACATAGGGGATGGCTGTGTCCAGGACCCTGGGGTTGCCTCATGTTGGATCCCTACACTCAACTAAGTGTGGGGATCTGTCATGGGTCATCCCTAAAATGACACACCTTCAATTTAAAGGTGCAATAGAAACAAGCCACAAAGATGTTCCACGTTATATACGGAATATCTTTTGGCCTGTTTGCTATATTATCACACCATAAGTTGGCTTGATAACAACTTGTGGCCAGGTTTCAATTTATGGTGCTATTAACATCATTGGCAGTCCCCCAACATGAGGATGAGAGTCTTCCAGTAAATAGGGACGTCACTGGCGAGTCCATAGATGACAAAGACAGCCTATCTGAGATGCACGTTTGACTGTTGACGTAGCAAATAGTTACAAGAAAAGATCTTAGTGATGTTGGGACATAGCCTTTTCCCTTTGTTTCTCCTGTCTATCCACTTCCATAGTGAGGTAAATTTGCTCAAACTGATCAGCGCTTTGTCATACATCATGGCAACACTGGGGACGATTCAGTGCTTGATTCTCACAAGTATTGATGTTAATATTGCATTTTTTTCAGAACGGCCTTCAAGGTGTCCTAGAATCTCTTCATTTGCCCATTTCTAGAGCAGTGACCATCCCTGAGCTGGGAGTATAAGACCTGTTTTGGGAGTTGGTTGTGAGGCATCCTTATGACATGTCCTGGCCAATGGAACTGGTGCTGTATAAATGTGGCTTCAATGCTGGTGGTGTTTGCTTGAGCCAGAACACTGGGATTCATTCTTCTGGTTTTTTAGTTGATGTAGAGAATTTTCCAAAGACAACACCTTAGAGGTATGGCTTCTCGTATGCTTGGCCCATAGATAACTATGGCTGTGCTAAAGAATCTATACATATCATGGCTGTCAGCAGACTTTTGAATCTCTTTTGCCTTGTCATTCCAGCACTTGTTCTTTCACTCTTGAATTTTCCTCTGGGTCTTGGGATTAATGTAGCACTAAAAAGCATTTTTACACATGCTTGTTCCACAGTGCTGGGTGCTTTTAAAAAAGTGCCTAGCACTGCGGCACATGCAGTTGCGCAAGTGTCAAAACGCGCATCAGTGCTGAGAAAATGGTGGCGGTGCACTTCTGAACTAAAACACATCAGAGATGTTTTAGTTCAAAAGCGCACCACCACCATTTTCTGTGCACTGATCCACATTTCGCCACTTGTGCAACTGCATGTGGAGCAGCGCAGTGCACACCAGCTTGTATGCAGAGTAGACTTGATTAATTGAATTTGCTCTGACCCACTGGATCTCTAGTGTATTGTGGGACAAATAGGTATGTTTATAAATGACTAAGCTGGTGATAAAGCCTCCCAAGAATTGCAATCTGGACATGGTGGAGGTGACGCGTTACCAATGACCTTCACAGCAAAGCTGCTTGGAGTGTCATACTCCTGGTAAGATGACCCATGGTGGCAGACTAATAGTGATTAAAAAAAAAGATGTCCTCAATGGTGGAACAGGCAGATGAAGAAAGAATACTTCATAATGGGTGTAAAGGTGGATGAAGGCTGCAGTGTAATAGAAACTTCAAGCTGTCTAGGTTTCCATCAGATTAAGGTTTCTCCCAGCAAAGTATCATGCGATTGCTGATGTACAATGGCATCCCCGCTTTAGAAAATGACACGCACAGGCATCTTCCTTCAATGGCAAATCCTATAGCAATGGGCGTGTGGCCACAAGGGCAGGTGCTAGTGATAATTGGAAGCACCTAGTCATGGACCTACATAAGTGATGATTGTATGATAGTTATGTTGTGCTTGGAACTGAGACAGGTGCAACTTGGCAGATGCAATCATGACTGAACAGGCCTATTTAGAGTCCAGTCTACTCACCCCATATTGGGAGGGGGCTAGAAACGGTGCCCTAAACAGTCTGTCTCATGTCAGCTGACTGGAAAGTTGCATCCAGTGGGATCATTCTATCTACTATCCAAATCAAATAATGAAGTTTACAACTTGGAATGTCTGCACCCTCATGGACAGTCCCAACAGCAACCAACTAGTGTGAAGGATACCACTTATGGACACAGATCTTGAATGATTTGATTTCTGTACTTAAGGAGACCAGATGCGCAGGAAGGGACCAGCTCACAGAGGCTGGCAGTGGCCATACTTTTTTTTGGGGGTGGGGGAGAGGGTAGGGGGGGAAAGAAAAGCAAGACAGACATATCCACAGGTTTTGCTATCAAGACCAAGACTGTTACACAGAAGTCAGAATGTCTGGTTGGCATCAATGAGTATCTCATGACTCGTTGCCTTCAAATGATGAACAGACAACATGCAGCAGTCATTAGTGCATACACCCTGACCCTTGATGCAGCTGACAAAACCCCAAAATTCTATTCTATTCAACCAAGTCCTATAATCTGTCCCAAAAGAAGATCACAGAATCACAGAAAGTTAGGGTTGGAAGGGACTTCAGGAGGTCATCTAGTCCAACCCTGCTCAAAGCAGGACCATCCCCAGCTAAGATGAGATCATTCTTCTTGGCGATTTCAATGCTACAGTGGACCAGCATTTTGTACAATGGAAAGGAACAGGAAGGGGTGGGGAAAGTCAGTTAAAATGCAATTCTTCTCCTGAGCAAGCATTTGAGATGTGATTTCATCATCATAAACTTCTTATTCCACCAAAGCAAAGTTACACTCTGCCCATTCATATAGCCCCAAAATGACATAAAAGAAGCGACCAAGGAAGAGGTTCAATACAGAGTCCTTGAAAGACGTTGCTAAAAGCAGTCATCTTCAGGAGTGCTTCAGTGAGCAACTCTGACCTTCTTCCTGATGATCTTGGCATCATTGATCAAAAGGAGAGCCTCAAAAAGGCATCCATGAGGAATGTGAAGAATATCTAGGCTTCTGCACAAATAAACACCAGGACATCTGATTTGATGAGAATGATACAGAAATTCAAGCTTTCATTGACAGAAAAAGGAGAGCCTTTAACGCCTGGAAGAATGACATCTACTCCAAACAGGACATCAACTCTAAACAGAAGCCAAGACATTTATCAGTGCGATTAATCACCTTAATCACATTTTAAATGTAACATGTACCAGGGCCCTGATTGTCTACACTCTGTCCAAATACAATTGAGTGATTTGGGGCAGACTGAAGCAGAATTTTCCCTTATGTTAAATTCTTTCAGTACATACATTAAAAAAATCTCTCTTTTTAATGTAAGATTTTTCTGTGCTTGAACAGGTGGATTTATTTTCATGGGAACCCTTGTTAGAAAGGTGAAAAGCAAGAGATTTGCTTTGTTAGTCCCAAAGTACCTAGAGAGTATATGACAGCTCCCGTGTGTCAGATTTAAAGGGTTTCATATTCCTTGTCAGTCAATTCTGACTGGTGATAAGATCTGGCATACATTCACCTGCTGAGCAGCAGATTATTTACTGTTTGTGACAGCCTCATTTAAACCACTTCATGGTCATCTAAAAGCATATCAGTCTTCTCTTCTAAGCTTCCATAAAGATGCCAGTTCCTTATCATCAGTTGCAATTAAACATTTATTCATAAAAAATCAAGTGTACATACAGGATACAGTTTGCTCTTAAGAGCCCATTTTCTGGAACTTAATACGTGCCTACTTCCCCATTGCTTGCTGTACAGAACATGTACACAGTATACCATGGTTACAGAGTGATATTTTATGAACACAAATATAGAAAATTTGGCAGAAGAGGTTCAAGACTGACTTTTCAAGTATGAGTGAACAACAAACAATGCACAGAACACGGCTCTTTCAAGCTGGCATGAAAATCTTTTCAAACAAAACCTGAACATTATTGCTGTTGCTTGTGTCCGGTGGTGCAGTTTGTAGAAGGGACACAGTGCAACAGACATCCTGTAATATACAAGGAAACTTCTTTTGTTTCCATCAGGCATTAAACTTCCTGGACCCAACATTTTTATTTGCTAATTCTGATTTTAGCCAGGCTTAAAAATAAAAATGCTCTCAAAATAAAAATGTAATTTAAAAAAAGACAGGTCTTACTCATGCAGCTTGTGCTTTGACCAAAATTGTGCAAGCAAGTTTAGGCTAGTATATAGCCTCTAGTACCTTGAAATGAGATATGCATTTAAATAAAACTTTCATTTCCAAATACATGTAAGAATGTAACATAAGGAAGACTTACCACTGACAGCTTTTTCATAATTTTTCCCCAGGTTTATTAAGTTCCTTAGCCCCGGGTTGAACTGTTCCATAACATTCTAATGAAAAGAAAAGTCAGGTTATAAAAAAAAGAAAGTCATTGATACTGGTATTTCAGATGTATGATACTGATCCTGAAAAGCTGCCTTGTGGATGTCTGAACGCTGTAATGGATTTCTTTGAAGGTGAGCATGGGATTAATGTGTGTGTTTAGGGGAGAGGTGGGGTGGGATGAAGGGGAAAGGAGGTGAAAGGAAAATTATCCTCTGCCCTGTGTGGGTAGAACACATCCTATTTCAGTGGAGTACTACCTGCTGAAAACCTGATGCATCTCAAGGTCATCTTCAGCCTCAGAAATAATCATTGTATATATTTAAGACCAGGAGTCACACACATCCATTTTTAATAAAGGATGAGGAAGGAGTAGGGAGAGTTAGGAATGAAGAGATCCCTTTTCTCCAGTGCTACCTGCATATTTCATATCAAAGTGAGAGAATGCAGGCTCTTGTTCAGAATTTGGATTCTCCTTCAAAAAAAATTTTAAAAACTAAAAAGTTTCAGTTTTTGGACTAGGCAGCTGCTTAGGAGGACTTAAGGTAGACAAGGTACTTTGGGTGAACTTAACACTTTCTTAGGAGGACTTAACACTTTCCAATTAAGAATAAAGTAATGGGCTTGGTAAAAGGTCATTTTTGTGCATCACTGCCTGGCATTTAGAGAGAGTAGTTCAGGCAATCCTTTAACTTGAAAATTCAGTGCGTTTGATAGCAAATAATGTGCTTGAACAAATAATTGCTCAAACAAGAAAATAAAAAGAGAAAATGAAAGCTACCAACCTCATTCAAGGAAAGAGGGGCAGGGGGGAAAGCTGTACCTGCTACTCTTGGTTGCTAATACATTTATTTTAGCTACAGCAAACAACATTTGAAATCCAGCAACACACAACACAACTGCCCTTACAACCAGTAAAGTCTGTAAACAGATGAAGTGGCAAGGATTGTGAAAAGTAGCTATATAATGCAAGAAAATAGCAACACCATTAAAAACCCCACAAAAACAAAAAACTCCACCTTATTTAGAAGTGAACCCAAGTCAAATTATGGTATGGGTTTTCAGTGTCTAAGCTGAGACGTCTTAGAGGGCTGAATTTTAGAAAGTGCAGTGGCAGTTCCCTGAAAATAAGGTTGATTAATGGGACTCAGAATTGGATATCAAAATTGAGGCATTTAATCACTTAAAGAAGTTGGCTTTAGTGGATAGTTGCTTCAGTGATAGGCCTAGGAATTTATATCGTTATGGTTTTGCTGTAATTCATAGTGACATCACTTATATTTAAAAAGGAGAAAGAAATTTCACGCTAAACTTCCACTGATGCAAATTGAGAGTTATGCCTGAGCAAGTAGCATAGGATCTATTTATGTTACCCTCAGAGGGGTCATTTTAAAGACTAGCTACAACAGTACACCTCCTACTTCTTCTCCTTCGTGTAAAAAATAAAAATATAACAGTGAGCCACCGGTAAAGGTTTTTGCAATGCTTAGAATATAAATGTTTTAAATTATAAATTTAACATAGTTTTACATACAGTGCAATCTCTTATGTGCTACTGCAGTGTTAAATCTCAAATGTCATTGGCAAAGAACAGTGACATTTACTGAAACTGTATCGCTGAAGAAATCATGTCATTTTAAAATTGAACAATTTGAAAAGTTTGTGCATCTTACTGTAAAACTTCATTTTTTCCAGAAGTTCTTTGAGTTAGGTTGAACAGCAGCTGTGAGCAGAGTATTTTACTAATGAAGTATTTTGATTTCAATTTCTATATGCTTGCTACCAGAGTAAGTCTAGTTCTCTTCTACTTAAAAATGACCTATGTTACGACAATCATATTTCTATACGTTACTATAAATACAAGGAGAATAAATATCTTTTCATAAGCAAGCTATTTTACAAAGGGTTTAAAGATTCTGAAGGACTCAGAATAACAACAAAGACAAGACCTTCTAATATGCTCTAGAAACTACACAGTAAATTGCAGCCCTCAACACTGCATTGTAAAGTACTAACAAAAAAAGAAAAAACCCCAGGACCATTAAATATCTGTAAGTATGCAAACTCCCTTGTTCATTCGCTATCTTTATGGCCTGAAGCACTGGACTTTTATATATTGTTCAAATAGTTGAAGATCAAGGTGTTCAAAACAGGTACCTTCTATTGGTAAGACACAAACACACACAAATACCTGAAATCTTTTACCAGTAATACTGGTACCAAACAGAAGAAATTATACATATTTTATATATACATACACCAAGAAAGTAAAAACATTTGATCAGTTGCTTGATAAATGCTTTCAACTTTATCCGGCTGCAAGTTTAAGCAATATCCATCAGCAAGCCACCACATTAATACAGATTAGAAGCAACGAGACAAATAGACACATGCAATGATAGAATATTTTGCTACACAGACTAGGTCCAAATCTCTTACTACCAATTAATATAAGATGACAATATTGACTTGCCATTGCCTTCTTTTTAATGGGACCATGAAACTTCTTCCCTTGAGCAAGTAACACATAATCAAGAGATCTACATTTAATATTGTTAAATTTCAAACTTTTTCTAGGTATCTAACCTTCAATTTCCAGGCAATAATATTGAAAAATTTGTGATCTGACAACTACAGTGCCATTACTTTAGGACTGCCTTGACACCTTTCCACTTGGCTTTCAAATTGAAAGACTGAACTAGCTTCACTGTCTGTCTCCTTCTGGATGGATAGGAGAAAAAAAAAAGATGGCTTTTGGCCTCTTCCATCAGCAGACTTCAGATTTTATTGATTTACCTACAGATGTTGGTAGATAGACAAGACTGGGAGTACAGTGGGTCCACTAACATACAGAAAGTTATCAAGAAGTTTTACTACACCATATCTGCCCAGTAAGGCTGGTGAGAAAGTGAATGAGAGAATGTATGCGGTAGTGCTGTAACACAAGCAATTCATAGATATTTTCTCCATGAGACTTAGAAGTCTCTGGAAGTCTCCCACCCCATGCAGTGCCACAGAAGATGATTGTTAGCAGAGGTACTATGCACAGTTTTTAGATCTGGAGGTCCAAGTATCCCCCTTGGAAAGCCCACTTCTTGGGAGTTTGCTTTTCTGAATCAACAAATAGCTGACCTTCAAGGTACAGTAGGTCATCTGTTTTCCTCAGGTTTTTGCCAGACTTGGGAATTTAACTGTCTGCACTCAACATTGTTGCAGATACCTGGCCCTTCTGCAGTGAGGGAAGCGCAGATGCAGCAGAGGGGAATGCTGCAGAGGGGACAAGTGACATGGCACAGTTCTGTGCCACTGAATCCCCCATGCTGGATTGGACCTTTGCAGGCTGAATCTGGCTCAGGCTACATCCCTGCTAGAGGAAAAAAGATACAAGCTTTAATTTTTTAGACTATGCCATAATGGCAACTCATTAATTTATAAATGTCCCATATTGTTAAATCTAAAGAAATGTGAAAATGAATGTGACAAAAGTCAGTTGCAACTTTTCATTAGAGTTTTATTTAAAAGTTAGTTATAACTTTGTTCTAATTTTAACAGACTTTGTTTTGATTTTAATTAGAACAAGCACACACAAAGTAATCTCAGAAAAAATCTCTTAAAAACCAAGAGAACCACTATTGGCTTTGAAAAAGACCAAGGGCTCCATCTTCTTAAAAAACGCAGTTCAAAACATATAATAAGAAACAACCCTTGCTTTGAAGAGTTTAATCTAAATAGGCATGGCAAACAGAGTTGGAAAGGAAACAAAGGCACAGACAAATGAAATGACTTGCCCGTAATCACACAACACATCAGTGCTAGAGCCCGGAGCATAATATAGCTTCCTTGTCTGCCCAGTGTCCTATACTCTGGTATCACACTGCCTCATAAATAAAATACGCAACTAGAAGAGAACAGTATATCGGATCATATAGCTTTCTGATTGTTTGGTTGAATGGAAAATGGGAAAACAGACAAGAATGATCTTTTTATGTAAAATACTTTAAAAAGCCAAAGCAACCTGCCTGACAGAGTTTAAGAGAAACATAATTTGGTCATTCATGAAGCAATTAAACTGTCACATAAGAGTCTATTGAAATGTGAAATGTTTAGTGTCTTCAACTTTTAAGTACGATCATTGGGAGCAGATTAGGCTGGAAGCAAGAAACTGGAATTAAAAAGCAATGAATCTTGTACTCCCACTTGTTCTCTCTGTGTGTACACTCTGCAGTTCCTGCTTCTATTACAGTATAAGCAATTTTAACCTTGTACACAAATTAGGGCCATTGCTGAAGTTCTTTCCTGTAAATTCTCTGCTTTTTTTTATTCCCAAAACACACCTCTTCAGAACAATAGCTCAGCAGGTATGGACACAGCTAAACAACACACAGAAACCCTGCTGCTTTACATCCTGCAAACACTCCATTCAAAAATAATTGATAGATTACTGATCCACATCTAAATATACCGCATGTGTGTTTTTCTGTGTTAAACTTTTACCTTTTCAAATTAATACTATTCATATTACTTTGCTTACTGATATTTATTTGGGCAAAAGTCAATTATACCTTAGTACAGTTTTTAATAACTTCATATTAAACTGATTACACATATTGGTTTGTATTCAGAAGGACAAAAATTGCACTTAATAAAATGTTATGGTATTCAGCATTATGTTAAAAAAGTCTTCCTGACATTTCTTTAGGTGACATTATTTAAATAGGGAGAGCCCTATATAAAAAAATATTTTTCTGTGCTAGTTTTTGCATGATCATACTATTGTTTCTTTAGCTTTGGAGAGTCTACTATTGGCTTCAATGGATAGAAGATCAAGCCCTAAACCCATTTTATGCTGATGCAACTCCACAAGTATTAAGAGAGTTACATTGGTGTAAAACAGGTTTAACAAAGTGGAAAACCAGAAACCTACTAGTGTTTATTCAAATCAGATTAGCTCTTGTGACTAATTATCTGACAGCTTGCCGACCTTTTACTGTTTAAAGGAGAAACATTTCATTCGTCAGTGTGTTTCAACAGTAAACATTTTCAGATTATGATCCTATGATCCATGAGGAAATTCTAGATCCAAGTGAAGTTTTAAGTAGACACAATGCCAACAACGGGAAAAAACATGCATTGTTTTATAGTAAGGTAAAATTTGGTTCCTGCTATGAGAGCTCAATGTATATATTTCAGTAATGTAAAACAATTATTTTACTGTTACACACTTCTGAATCTGAGGGCAATTTTACTTTGTTTTAAAAGTGAACATGGCTGGCAATTAACCTAATCCTACGGCATTTTTAAATAGGAAATATAAAACCAGCTATTTTAATTATTTTAATTAAGCATATTTAAGTATACATTATTTTTATATTGCAGCATTAGGATCAACCAAAAATAACTCCAGCATATGGCTGTTTACCAAACAGAACCTAGTAGTACATGTAATATTCAGGATATTTTAAAAAACTTTAAAAATATTCGTTTAGAATGACTGCAATAGATTTTAGGACAGCATTTAGTTTTGAATCTAGGATATGTAATAGTGACACCTCACAGGGCAGGGGTAGGCAACCCCCAGGACATATGCCAGAGTGTGGCACATGAAGGCACTGTGCTTAGTGTGCGTGCCTCTGAGCAGACACCGGGGAAGGGGCGGGGGCCGTGCTGCCACGAGAAAGATCGGGCCTCTTGCAGCTCGCCTGCCATCTGCCCCTGGCACGCCAACATCTTACAAGTTATAGGGTTAGCATTCTTATCAAGATTTCTGGAAACTTCAAACTACAAGAGCAAAGTGTGAATAATTTGTGAAACCACTACAACGCAGAACTGGAATGACAGGAGCATAATTCAACTATCTGGGGCTTTTGATTTACTTAAATTTTAAATTTTGTAAAACATGATCAGATAATATATTTACCATTTTCCCCCCTATAGTATTGCTCGTATGGAGTCACATTAACTGTTTTGGTGTTCCAACAAGTGACAGTCTATCTGGTTTCACACAATGCTGCCTACTCTCATTGCAAAACCTACTGATTTGTGGGTGCAGCATCACCGGTGAATTCCAAGGGTGGGGTAATGTCATACCAGTGAGTTAGCTACAGAATTGCTGACAGTTACAACCTTCCTCTTAGGGTATCTCCCTTGAGTCATAAGCTTTCACACCCTTACGTTGCATTCTGCACATGCCAATGCATCATGTACTCAAAACCCATGTAATACCTAAAGGACAAGAGAGCAAGGTTAAATCTTAATTCTAGGGCTAGGGACAGAAATTACAATTAAACCAGTTTAAATATGTAACACAACAGAAGTTCAGTCCACATAAACCGCTTTCAAAAAGGCAGAAACTGGTTTAAGATAAATTTGGATGGATGTAGTATCAGACTTAATAGATATAGGTCAGATTGGTTTATTGAACTTCTGTCCCAGATCTCCTCCAGATTCAAGTTAACTCAGCACCCCAGCATGCTTTGTGCCTCCCCACGCCCTCCAGGTTTTGGCCTGGGCCACTGCAGACACGTGGCTGAATTTCCAGAATCAAAAGTGAATATCCTTTCACTTGTTTATCAGTCCAATAAACACAACTTAGATTAACCTGTAAAGATTGAATTGATTCAGCCTCAGGCTTTTGGACTATCTGTACTTAGTCCCAGAGTTTTTTGAGCTTTTTTATTTTAGGATGGTATTGTAGTAATAATGTTAATGGAATTGTTTTGGGGTGTTTATTTTGCATAAGTATATTTAAAAGCTTCACACAATGTGTATAAATATATAGTTAAGGACATCTAGCACATAGATACTGATGTTAAACTGCAGGGAGGGTGGAGAAGGAAGCAGCTGAGTAAAGGAAACATTGCTCCTCCCTTTCTATTTTCCAAGTTGCCCCCAAGTTGCATACCTTTTAAGACAGAGGACCAGTAGTAAGCTTTCAAGTCCCATGTCAGTTTTACCCCATCATTATGCTACACTAAATTGGCTCCTCCAGAAGCAGCATTTCTTCTTACAGATTGGGGAATACAAATACTGTAACTGCTGACTTCAGTGAAGTCATTGAGACTGGTACTTCACTGTCGTGCTCACTTGTGACCCGTCACAGCAGCATAGTGAGAGAGAGCGCCAACTGCTCGGGTACCAATTGCTCTCTAGCCTGGAGTGCATGGGGCCCCACAAATTAACATTCCCTGTCTTACTCAGAAGTAACTTCACCTGTGTGGAGCTCCAAAATCCCAGTACCACCGCTCTTTTATTTAAAGCTAACTTGCATTGCAGACACACGCAGACTTAAACAAATCACCCCAAACAAATCACAATACTCAGTATATTCAAACAGCTCTTAGGCACCATGTCTAGATAAGTTTCAACCCTTAATCACGGTGATGGCACAGCAGGAACTCATTCCCAGGCCTGTTAGACCTAATAGGATAAGATGCCACAAACATACTAAACCTCTCAAGATACCAAAGTACAAGACATTTTATCACAGGATCAACGTTAACTTTGTATTGTCTGGCTTTTGCTGGTGGCGTCAATCCTGGTCACCGCTTTACAAGAGTATCTGTTAACGCGACATACACGTGCACACAAACAACAATAGTTTTTTAAAAACTGAGCAGATTTTAAAAATTGTATTTAGAGGGATGATACTAGTGGAAGGCCACTAAAATATATTTGCATGTTGTCTGATCACTGTTAAAGGGTTTTTATTTTCTTTCCTTCTTTTCACGCTTGATTTCCAAGATGTGTGTGAAGTTGGGGAGTTGAACAGTCACTGCTGTTTTTTGCAGTACCGTCAGGAAAATATCACAAATAACCTTTGCAGGCACGGCTCTTGGGGTAGATGGGAGATCTTGTATTAGACCGACTCTGTAGACCTACTCAGTCGGTTTAATAAAAGATCTCTCACCTACCCCGAGGATCCTTGCCTGCCTCTGTCCTTAGACCAACACGGCTACAACCAACCACCAGACCAATACTCATCCGCACGTCCCTCCTGCAAACCCTGACTCAAAGGCAGTAACCCTATTAGCAACAGGACTTCTTGTCTGACTAAAGGGTTTGCTGATTTGACCCTGATAGGAACGGTTAGGTCATATACACAAGACCCTGTGTCAGACGCTGGCTCTTCTGCAATTTATCTAGCTCGTCCTGTCTCTATTTACACACAAATAACCCGATACTCCTCCCAGGAGTCCACACTTTGTCCAAATTACTTCTTGGTTTTTTTTTTAAAGCCAAGACAACACGACACCAAATCACCTGGGTGACTTGCCAGTGGTAAGAGTAACAAAACAAAAATGAATTAAAAATACTTCAGGCGCCCGAAAGCTTCCTAAGGACTTTCCCCCTCATGAATAAAAGACACCGGATCTCCCCGAAGAGCCCGACACGCCGCTCGCTGCCTGGCGGGGGGTCGACGATGAATAAACATCCAGGAAAAGTTTTCAAACCCGTGGAAAAAAACAGCTTCTCCTCGTCTCGCCGGGCAGGACCAGGACTAACACTCCCTGGCTCCGGGGGGGGTGGGGGGAGCTGGCAGCCGCTCTCTCCTCGTGCGAGCCGCGGTCCCGGGGCTGCCCCAGCACGGCCGGCGGAGGGGCTATCTACACGGGGCCAAACTCACCTTGTAGGTGCTCTCGGTGAGGCGGCTCACCTCCTCAGGCGCCCGGGACATGGCGGCGGCGCTGCCGGCCCCGCGCTGCTGCCCTCGCCC